GAATGCCGCAGTCTAGCGCAGAACAGGGGGAAGTGGGGCACCTCTGGTGTCGGCACTGACATCTTCACGTCGACACTGGTTCCCCGGTAGGACTTACAGTGCTTTTAGCTGCTCTGACTTTATCCCCCACTCCTTTTTTGGAGCCTCTCTCCAGCCTTCTCAGTGTTTCTGTGAGCCCAGTAGTTCAATAGTCTATTTCTGCTTTCATCAGCCAGAATCGGTCTTTTGGCTTTAAACTAGGATTGACACACGTGACACTGGGGACCCTGTAGCACTCACTGGCTCCCTCACTCCCCCTGGGACAGGCGAACTATCCTGGTAGCTAGAGCCCTCATCTAACAATCACTGGGAGAAGTGCATTTTATGCATTTCTGTCATCAGAACATCTTTTCCCCCATCCCAGAAGCATCAAGCAATAACCGATGTCTCAGCTTCTAATTCTACCTCTTCCTTTCCCTTACAGTTGCTTTTTATTTTTTTAATTATTATTTTTTTGGCTGCGCCACACAGCACACAGGATTTTAGTTCCCGGACCAGGGGGCCCCCTGCAGTGGAAGCTGGGTCCTCAACATTGGACTGCCAGGGAATTCCCTATAGCTGCTTTTTAGATGTTAATCTTTCTAATGTTCTGTAGTTTTGTGATTTATCTAGGTCCCCAACTCCACCATCTGTGATTAACTGGTGTTCCTGATTCTTAGGGTTTATAAATTATTATAATTCTCATCCCCTTTAACATACTCTCTGCTTCTGGAACTGATTTGTCTCACATCTCCTTACTCTATCCTCCATGTTAACTCTTGTCCTCAGTTTCCATTTCTCTCTATCCCTGGGCTCCATCTGTGTAACTTCACATCTACTTCCAGTTCATTCTCCTTCTAGGTGTGTCGAATCTGCAGCTTAACCATAAAGTTTCTAACTTCAAATAGTATATTTTTCATTGAAAATATATTTTTTTATCAATCTGGTCCTTTTTGATATTTTTTTCCATCAGTCATAGCTTTTCTTTAAACATAAGTAAGACACTTTCTATTTTCTATTTTCTACTTCTAACATCTCAGTCTTTGCTGGTCTGATTCTCTTGCCTGTTGTTCCTAATGACTCTTGGTTATGGGTTTTTCTTTTCCTTGTTTGCTTTGTTTTCACTGTAGGCTTAGATTCCTTGAAATTTTATCTGAAGGAATTACTTGAGGCCTGGGTTTAAAGTACAATCCTCAAGAGAGGAATGCATTTGCTTCTGCCAGGTGCCTGAAGGCACTATCAACCTGAGATCACTTTAAACTGAATTGTCAGCTTGAGGATTTTCCAGTCCACACAGGCAATATGAATTCTCCACCCAAACAGTACTGAGAGCCAGCTGTGCTTACATATTATCATATTTTTGTCCCCACCTTCTACCTCCCCTTGCATCCAAGACCAAAGCTAAGTAGATGAGTTGTGGGATTGGTTCCGTCTTTGAATGATCGCGTCATCTGTTCAGTTTAAATAGGAAGGGTCTCTGATCTGACTTCCCAATTTGTAGGAGCATTAGATTTATTGCCCACCCAACATGTGGCCCCTGAAATGGTAATTCTAAGCCACCCACAAAAGCAGCAGAATAAAAAGATGAGTGACACGAGTGTTTATGAACTGGCTCCTACATAAAGTCCCAGTCCCGGGAGCCACTCACAGACTCTATGGCCTTCAACTGGCCTCAATGTCACTCACCAGTCCTTTTCCTTCTATACCAGAATCATTATTTTAAGGCAAGAATGGGAGGACTTGAGGACATGACGACCCAGATCCAAGCAGAAGTGTGGAATGGCAGAAGGCTGAGCTGCTCTTCTTGTTCAGCCCTCAGGCAGTCCAAGAGCCCTCTAGTCATCTCTGAGCCAGTTGGGTTCCCAGGCAGCTGTGACCCTTGCCTTTGAAAGGGAAAGACCAGAACGGGCCAAGCCCAAATGTGTCCCCACAGATGCATTTCTCACTGGGGCAGTGGCAGAGCTGAGGACAGCTCCTTATTACTCTTTGCTCAAAGGGAGATGTCTTCTGTCCTTGCCTGCATTTCGGCGCCTCTTTCGACTCAAGAAGCTCTCTAGCTTCTTGCTTCGTTTCAGCTCCTTGAACTTCTCAGCTAGGACCAACTGGCGCTGCTCAGCTAGAGGACAAGGAGAAAGCAAGCCAGTAAGCAAAGCAGGAAGCCCGCTTCTTTCCCTTTCCCCAGGTCAGTAATTCTCAACCACTATGCAGTGATATGTGACTCATCTGGAGTTCACCGGTGTGTGTAAGCAAGCTGACTTCTATGAATCTACTCTTTCTCAATTCAACCAACTATGAGCTCCTTCTCTCTGCCCTACCCACAGATGTGGGGGTGGGAGAGAGATAAAAACGACACTCCCTGCCCATGGTCATTAGGGATACAAGAATGGTTACAAACAACAACTCCCTACTATTCCTACTTTCCTCCAACTTACCATGGGATCCAGCCTTCATGCCTCCCTTAGGGAGCTCACGGACCCCCAACACAGTATCCTGCCTCTGTGGCCACCCAACCCCTGTTCCTGTAACTAGCCTGTCATAGCTGTGCCCCACTCACATTTCTTCAGGAAGTATGGCCGATGGCCCTGCTGGGCCTGAGCCCGCCGCTCCTGCTTCAGGGCCAGGTGCAGCTCCTGCTGCCGCTTCCGTTCCTGCTGTGCCATTTCTTGCTGCTCCTGAGGAGCAAAGATGAGATCGGTGAGACAGGTGAATAGCAGGGACTGTGAATCACCCCCTGCCTCGAACTGCTCTCACCTCCCTCCCCCGTATTCTGACTTACTCACCATGTGCTGAAGCAGCTGCTGCAGTTTCTCACGCTCCTCCCCTGAACGGCGCTTCTTCAGCTGCTTTTTCACAAGCTCCACGTTGGAAAATGAGTATGACAGTTAGCATTCTATAAATGTTAGGCGAAACTCTGTGCCAAGCATTATTCTAAGAGGTTCGCATATGTTAACTCACATAAACACTACAAGATAGGAATTATTATCTTTCTGTGATAAGGAAACTGAAGCAAAAAGAGGTTAAGTAACTTGTCAATGATCACACAGCTAGTAAATTGACGCACCCTGCTCCCCTCTGCCCGACTCTCTGATCTGTGCTCTAGTCTCACCACTCGGAATCCCCACAGACCAATCTCAAGTTACTCACATCTTTCTCTCTGGCTCGGATGTCATTTAGGAATTGATACGTTTTATCAAACACCTCAGGATTATATTCCCCTGACAGATCGTCAAAGCGGGGGTCCCGGGCTACCTTTGGAGCGAACAGAGAGAATATAAAAGAACTGTTCAGTCTCCTTGCACTGAGAAAGAGCTCACTGGCTCCTCCTCACCTTCTTACTGATGGGAACAACTTGACGCAAAAATGGCACCCGGATCTTGGCTGACATTTCCAGAGGCCTATGGAGAAATTAAACAGGTCAAGGGAACTCCAGTCTTGTCACAGGCCTCCCACCTGCCACCCAAGAAAGCAGACACCTACTCAAGGTCCCAGCTATCCTCCAACTCCTGGGGCAGGCCTTGCTCCTCACCTGTGTTTATCTGCAACACATGCTTTTTGGACAGGTGGTCTGGAACTTTGCTTCTTAGTGCTGTTTCCAGTTACCAATTGTTTGTACATCTTAGTCCCCACTTGGCTCTGCAATTCTAACAGCTCCTCAAATGACATGTGAGATGTGCCTGTGAAAGGTAGGTGGGGGTGAGAGGGAACCGCAACTCAGCTCAGCATCTGCCACTGCTGCAAAGGTGCCATCCCATCTGCATTCTTCATAGGTAACTGATCCTTTCCAACATCCCCTTCAGACCAATCACTGCGGGTCCTGGGCAGCACAGCTTGTAATGGCGCTACACTGACACCTGACTCCCCATCGGTTCCAGGTACCTGGGGCCTCACCTTGCTAAAGAAGGTGTACATGTAAGGCTCTTTTAAATCACTCCTTCACAGGTTTCCCCATAAGGACCTCTGTCTCCCTTGCTCAGCTACCATCGCCATTATTCTGGTTCAGGATACGCTCAGCACCTCTCACCTCAATCAGTACTCTAGCCTCCTCACTGCTCTCCTAACCTCCAGTCTCACTCCTCTCAAAGCTATGCTCCCCGCTTCAGCCTGGGAGAGGCATCTAAAAAGCAAAACCTGGGGAGGGGGTAAATTGGAAGATCGGGATTGACATATACACACTACTATTGATATATATAAAATAGGTAACTAATAAGGACCTCCTGTAGCACAGGGAACTCTACTCAATACTCTATAATGACCTATGTGGGAAAAGAATCTAAAAAAAAGTGGATAGGACTTCCCTGGTGGCACAGTGGTTAAGAATCCGCCTGCCAATGCAGTGAACACGGGTTTGATCCTGGTCTGGGAAGATCCCACATGCTGCGGAGCAACTAAGTCCGTGTGCCATAACTACTGAAGCCCGCGCCTGGAGCCCGTGCTCCGCAACAAGAGAAGCCACCGCAATGAGAAGCCCGCGCACCACAACGAAGAGTAGCCCCCACTCACCGCAACTAGAGGAAAGCCCACGTACAGCAACAAAGACCCAACACAGCCAAAAATAATATAAAATAAAAAAATAAGAGTGGATATATGTATAACTGATTCACTTTGCTGTACACCTGAAACTAACACATTGTAAATCAACCATACTCCAATAAAAATATTTTTTAAAAAGGAAATTACTTCAGACCTTAAGTTTGCACTTTAAGTTCTTTAATAAAATAACTTTCTCTTTCCAAAAAAAAAAAAGAAAAAGGCAAATCTGATCTTATCACTCCCACCTCATCTCCACATACATATCCTACACATCATGTCACTCCAGAACTCAAAACTCCCCAATGGCTTCCATTCTTGCTCAGAGGAAAAGCTCTAGGCTTTGTAATAGCCTGAAGACCCCATGTGACCTAGCCCGGGTTTTGGCTCAAATCTCATCTCCTACCATCCCCTCCTTCCTACTCCTCTCCAGTCAACTGGCTTCCAAACAGTTCCTAAGCAGGACGGTATGCTCCCACCTCAGTTCCTTTGCACCTGACTTTGCTTGGAACACTTCCTCCAGCTGTACTGCTTGCTCCCTCACCTCCTTCAAACGGTTTCTCAAATGTCACCTACCCAGTAAGGCCTTCTGTGATTACTTAAAACTGTAACTCCTCCCCTGCTTTCCCTTCAAAGCTCTGATCACCTTTTTCAAAAAATTTACCCTTTAAAAATCTGCAATTCCGTGTTTTATTGTCTTTTATTAATTTGCTTGTTTTTTTTAACCCCTAAAAGGTAAGCTTCATGAGGACAGTGTTGTGCTGCTTTATTTACTACTGTATCTCCAGCATCTAGAACTGTGCCTGCACACAGCAGATGCTCAACAATGTTGGCAAAATTTGTTGAATCCTCATCTACTAAGCCTTCCCCAACAATCCATCCCCCTTCCTGACTCTGCGTTTGAACATAACGTTTCCTCCCTGAGAAAAACCCTCTTCGCCCTTTAAAAAACTGCTCAGGATGTCCTAATCCAGGAAGCATCCTCTCTCACTCCCCACTTTCCAGTGCGTTGGGGGGGCGCTCCCGGTGTTTGCATCTTTCAGAGAACTTAGTCTCACGGTCACGGCGTCTCCAGGCTCCGAGCCCGCACCACACGCAGTGCCACTGGCCCCTCACCCCGCCTCCGCGGCTGCCCCTCGGCCCGACGCCGTCCCCTCACCCTTCTGCAGATCCCCGGGCCCCAGGTCCCCGCCGTTCCGAGCCCCGCGAGGAGACCCGGAGGCCGCCCATCCCCGGGAGCTTGCATTCAGCATCTGACCGCGCGGCGCGCCGAAGACTAATGGCGCTACTTCCGCTCCGGCGGCGGCCGCCCCGCCCCGCTCCTTCCGGCATCTCCGGCAGGCCGAGTCCGCGACGCTTGGTGACAATAGAGCAGATCCCGCCCACCGCCGGGCGGGCCGCTGGTGGGCGGCCGGGGAGTCCTCCCTGGGCGGAAAAGGGCGCCCACCGTAAGTAACGTTGCCCCCTCCCTTTTGTCGCTTGGCGCTGCATTCCGCGCCGAAGAGAAACTCCGGCCAGGCCGTGGTGGTATTTGGTTTCCTAATGCTCTTGGCTGAGAAGCCAGAACCTCAGCACCCTGGCCCCACTGCAAGCTCCTGCCGTCCCTTGCCTATTCCACACAAAAGAGATCACACGTTTGGAGACTTTCAGTTCATTTTTATAAAATCTGAGCTGGCTGAGAGCGTCAGGGTACAGCAACAGCTCAAGGAAGGGTGGGATTATCTGCTGGTCCTCCCCTCCCCAGGTCAGGGAGAAGGAGATTTCATGCCAACAGCTGCAACTCCTCTCAGCTCCCAATCAATGCTCAGGGCTCAAGCAGCGGGAAGAGGTGGAAAGAGGGGTGGGGAGGGGAAGCTCCTGAGGCTGACACTGCTTGCTTCTCCCTCCTCCCCATTCCCTTCGCTTCCCAGCAGAGCATGGCTGACCTGGGGCAGAGCAGAGGCCCAGGAGCAGTTGGAGGGAGGTGAATGGGACAGAGCACCAAGGGGAAGGGGCCCTCGGCCCAAGGAGGAAGGGACCTAGCCCTCCCCCCTGCAGCTCCCCACTAAGTTCACAGCACAGAAAACACCTCTAGTCCAACAACTCCATGTGGAGGTATACCAAGTCCAGGGTCCAAAGGGGCAGGCGGGGGAGAGATGGGCAAGGGCAGTGAAGACACCAGCAGGCTCAGGAAGGGAGGCGGCAGAAACTTCCTCCTACCCATGGGAGGAGACAATGGGGCGACTGATATTGCTGTTGGTGGTCATGGCATTCAGCTCCCACCTGGAAGGCCAAAAATGACAGGCAGAAAGGACAGAAGGGGGAGCCTCCGCCCCCAAGTCCAGAATTGCTCAAACAAAGCAATGAACACACCAGTGCCTTCAACTTCCTAAAGCTCAACCACCTACGGCCACCTCTTCCTTACAGCCCTATGAGGGTTAACAGTCAGGTCTCCACCCACCACCAAATCCACTACCACCCACTAGTCCACCTGCAAGCTCATGTGGACTTCCTGTTTATGTTTACATATTGATATTCTTGTGCCCAACACCTGGAGAAAAACATCTGTGTATACATCTCAATAAACTTCCCAACCTACCTTTCCTCCTCTGCTCAGATCCAACCAGGATGCCCCTCCCCCCACCAGGAATGTCGGTTTTTGCTCTCAACTCCCATCCTTTTAAGGCCCTGATTCAGCTCTCCTATCCTCCCTGAGGCCTTCCCCAGCCATCCCACCATATTAAAATTAAATTCCTCTCTTTTTGACAACTGTCATTCAACAAAGTACCTCCTTATGCCAAAGCTCTACTCTACTTGGTACTAGGCACTTGCACATGTGTTCATCTTGGGCCAGCCTGGGATCCATCTGTTCAGCCTTGTATACTCTATCACCAAATACTGAACACACAGACCCTCAGCAAGTAAGAATTAAGCTGAACTGAATCAAGGAGAGGAAAGTGTCGCAGAATGACCCAGAAGGGCACAATTATACACAAGTTAACTTTCAGTGCTTGATTTAGACCTAAGAATGGAATTCAAAGGGAAGGAGCTAGGAAGGACCTCCCTTAATTCTGGAATTAATGTGATCCAGAGGCTCCTAAACTTGTTTTTTCTCTGCAGCTAGTTTCTAAGATTTAATCAAACTTTCTCAGCATATTAACAAAAATAACTGTATAAGCTCAGGAATTAGGAAGTGATACCTGTGAGCTTGGTTTGAAAACTGGACATTTTTTCCATAAAACTTACCCAGTGCACAGTTTTATATTTCCTTCTAGCTCCCTCTCCACAAGTACACTACAGAACAAAATCTTCTCTCTCCTGCACACTGAGACCAAGCCAATCAGGTCACGCCTGTCTGCCCACTCACCCTCAACCAGTCCCTCCTTTCCAACCATTCACTGTACCTGATGTCATGGGGCAAACAGGACTGGTCCAGGTTATACTGAATCACAGCCAGTTTGCACAGAGTCTTCAGACTAGGGCCTTTAAAGGAGGAGTGGGGGAGAGGGAGATGGTCAAAGCCGAGGAAAGGGTCCAGTCCTGGATATCACCACCCAAAGACAGGGACCCTGAGAGCAAATGCATTTAGGGAATAAGTGTACTTACTAAAGTCCAAAATGTGTAAGTCCGAATGATCTATGAGGTCAAATTCATCTCCCAGGCCTTCCTCAGGAGACGGACTATAGGGATCAAAAGAGAGATGAAGGAAGGAGCGAAGACTACCCACGAGACCCTCTTGCTCAAATGTCTCCCATGTTAGTCACAGGCTTAGGCCCTTCCTGGAGCCCTCCCCTCTCTCCTCCTAACCTGGTACCCCCAAAGAGGACAATCTTGTCACCAACAATACAGCAGCACTGGCGCCGGCGGGGACATGGCCCCTTCCCCTTCGGTTCAATCTTTTTCCAGGTAAACGACACTAAAGAGAAGTTTAAATGGAGGTTCAACACCTGCTAGCCCAGATATCCTCTCCACCCCCGCCCCTCACCCACTCAGGATTATTCTTTTCTTTTCCACGCCCCCTCAATTGCTTCCTGTTCCTCCCTTAAAGGCAGTGCTCTTTACCAGGGTTAAACTTCCAGAGGTCATGGAAGTGCCGGTTCAGCCTTGCATTATAGCCACCAAAAATGTACAGCTCCCCATTGTAGCCAACTGGAAGGAGAGAGCAATGTCAAGAATGTAGGGGCAATGGGGGACGGGGACTCGGCAGGGACATAACAGACACTCACAGGCTGAGTGGCTCCGGCGCCCCTCAGGCAGCACTGGGGTGGGTGGACAGTCCAGCCAGGCCTCAGTCCTCGTGTCAAAGACACGGATGCGGTTGCAGTAAATCTCATTGTTGGAATGGAATGGCCCAAAACGGTCTGCACGGCCCCCAAAGACATACATGTGACTGCCCAGCATTGTGGCCGAGTGGAAGTCCCGCCAGCGTGCAGGGTTGCCCTGGGCAGGAGCAGAGATGGGAGGGGGAGGGGTCAGCTTTCACTGTTTGAGCTCCCTATGGTTCCTTAAATTGAGGGTGGGGATCTGGGAGAGAGGAAGAAGGGCCAACCTTGGTACAGATCAGGGTCCATGTCATGGTGCTGGTATCCAGCTTGTGAATGTCATTGGAAAAGCAGTCCGCCTGACAAGGAAGAGAAAGGAAGTGAAGGAAAGAATAAAAGAGAGGAGCAGGGGTCACTCTCCGACCCTCCGTCCCTCCCACCTCAGAACCTGCAAGCAAACCAAAGCTTCCCATTCCACTACTTTCAATTCCCCTTCCTCCTTCTCATTCCCACCCTAGGGAAAACTCTAGTTTCTTCCCAGACCTACCAGCTGCTCGTAGCCCCCGAAAATGTACATGGTCTTGCCCAGGACACAAGCCGAATGTCCATCCCGGGCCCCAGGAACTGTTCCTGCCACTCGGGGTGTGGACCATTTGTGAGTATCTGAAGGAGGGGAGAGGGTGGGCCCAGTAAGCAAGCTGGTGTTCCCTCCTCGACTCTGGGGCGCCTTATTCCCAGCCCCCCTCAGCCCACACCTTCCCCAGCCCCGCGAGGCACCATTTGGCAGAACACAGCCTCCAGAGACTCATACTCACTGACGTCAAAGGCATAGAGCACATTGCAGGCCCCTTCGGTGTCATTCCGCCCACCCCAAAGGAAGACTGTGTCGTCGATGAGGACGGTGGAGTGTCCATACCGCATGTAGGGTACCACGGGAGCCTGCCCGCGGGTGGCGGGCCTCACTGGGGGCAGCTTTGTCCAACGCAAGGACACTGTGGGCACAGCTCTGCTCAGCCCTGGGAACCTCTCTTCAGGCCGTCCACATTTTCCCAAACCACATGTTAGTTTCCCCCACCCCCTCTGGCCGTGGGGGCCACCATCAAACCTCACTCAGCCACCCACTGCCCTCCCTGAGGTGGGCACCCAGGGATGGTCCCTGAGTTAGCTTACCTGCATTGAAAATGTGCACATCAATCTGACGCAGCGTCTCATAGTCTTCACCAGAGCAGTAACCCCCGAAGGAGTACACCCGGTGTCCGACAGCCACTGCAGCATGGTTCACCCTGCGGGGCCCGCCCTCCAGGTGCACCGTCCACCGTAACATCCCCTGGGCCACTGGTTACAGCAACATGCCCCCCCGGCACGGCCTGCTGCCTCTGCTACCTGCACACAAGTTAGGGCCAGGGGCTCCTCAGGCAAAGCCTTTGCCTGGTTCACCATGACTCTGCCCAGGACTAGCCTTGCCTCTAAGTGTCACCCTGGTGGCCCTCCCACACCACCCCTCCACAGCTCAGGTGGCTGGCTCTGCTCCAGGGGAGCTGCTGAGGTCAGGAAGCTAGCCCTGGCCCTGTGTTCTCCAACAGCAAAGGGTGGGGCCACTCTGACCTGACTGCCAGCTCAGACTGCTGATCAAGGGCTCAACGTGGTCATCCCCTACTCATGGCGGCTGCACCCTGTCACTGGCTTGGCCCAAGCTCCAAGCCCCCTTCAAAGGTCAGTGAGTTCTCTTATCTTTCTGACTCTGCTCTGCTTACTGCCACCTCTCTAAGAATCTCTGTGCTCTTTGAGGTGGGGAGAGGGATCTCAAAATACTCAGAGCTATTAATAGCCCAGCCAACCCCAGACAGTCCACTGAAAGCTGGCATGAGTGCCTCCAAGCAGAAAAGCTTTAAGGCTTTTAGAGTGGAACAGTTCCTCTATCCAGGATGGGGTGGGATTGATCCCGGACAGGGACCTTCATGGATGATTAGCCCCTCATAGGGGGCTCTTGTCAAGCAGAGCTGTTGTCATCGGGGTCACCCAGGGCCCCTCACAGGCATGAGGAGTTCCTTTGACAGCTGTGCCTGGCATGCTGCCAAGAACTTAAGCCAGAAAGGTATGTGTGTGCTGGGGATTGAGGGGGTAGGGTTTTCTCCTCTTGCCACTTGCCCAACCTAGCCATTGTGGTAGAGAACGAGCTATTTCCAGCAGCTCTTCTCCCACTTGGGTCTCTGAAAGGGGACAGGGGTGGGGGTGTGCACTGGAAAGGGAAAGGAAAGCAAAATGCCCTTGGGCAGGACAAGAGAAAGACCCAAGCATGAGAGATCATGGTCTCTTAAAGACAACCCGCTAACCTAGTGATAATGGGTACATCTGAAGGCTCTGTCAGGCAAATCCTGCAGCTGGCACTGCCTGCTCTGGCAGGCACCTGCTGGGTTTGGGTAGATCATCTGCTCCCTGTTCAAGAAGCCCTGGCAGAAGGGGGAAAAAAAAAAAAAAAGAAGCCCTGGCAGAAGGAAGAGCCAGGCAGAATCTCAGGCAAAGAAAAAGCTCAAGTAAGGGAGGCCCCTCGCAAGAAAGACACACAGGTTTCAGCTGGCTTGCCAGCCCTCCTGCCCCTGCCCAGCCTCCCTCAACCCCCAACCCCATGCTTTAAATAGCCACTCTGCCAAACCTGAAATAGCCCCTCAGGAAACCACTCTCACTTCATTACTCCTGTCCTCAATCCAAAAGCTCTTGGATCTGGGCTTGTAAGTACAGATAGGAAGGAGGTTGAAGAGCTTAAGAACTGGAGTCCATCTTCCCTCATAGCTTCCACTCCCCACTTCAGCTATATCAAGGTAAAGCAAAGAATTCAGAGGACAAGAGAGAAGCAATTCCATCCAAAGGTGGAGAAAAAAACCTTAGCTTCTCCTCCAAAAAAAAAAACAAACAAAAAAACCCAACTCAAGCTCGTGGAGAACAAGCCCCCAGGGTCTCAGGGGCTCCTCTTATCCCTGGGTCTCTCCCATCCTCCATCACTGCCGCATTCTTAAGCTTCTTCAATTTCCTTCATGCACCTAACCCCCTTCCTATTCTCTTGCAATTTTCATTCCCCGTTTCTGGCCCTTCTTGATCTCCTGAGAGCTTTGCCGTTTTCTCCTTCTTCCTTCTCCCACAACTCCAAGCTCCACCCCGACAGCCCTCCATTTTCCCTCTTCCACTAAGGGGAAAAAAGCTAATATCCATTGACCCCTTTCCGCCAGAGATATTCCTCCCTGTATATGACGCTATCCCTGTCGTCTCCCAGTCAACCCAACCTCCCCTCCCGCACAACTCCAGACACCCCCGCCCTTTTCTTCCATTATCCTCAGCTTCCCTGTTCTCCTCATAACCCGATCTTCTTTCCAATTTCCTTTAGTGCCTCCTCCGGCTACCAGGTCTCTCCCACTGTTTCCTCACCATCCTCCCGGAGCCCTTCTTTCCCCATTAACACTTTCCTTTCCCATCATCCCCCTAGTTCCCTCCCCACCCCCACCTCTTCACTCTCAGGCCCCTCCCCCACGACTCCAGCGCTAACCATGGGCATCCCCAGCCCCTATAATTCTCCTTGTCCCTCAACCCACCCCGGACTACCTGCCAGGCCGGGCCGGGGCGGGGCCGCGGGTCCTCGCGATGCCTGCAGCCTAGAACCCGTTGCACGCCAACCGACGACGCGATCCCCAACGAGATAAACACAACCAGGCTCTATCCTTCCGGCGGGCAGCTGTCTGCGAACATGCAGTCAGAGCTAAGTGCCCGAAGCCTACCGGGACTTGTAGTTCACGGTGTTCCGGAGGGACGTCAGGGGCTGAAGAGTGGGCAGGAGCCTGAGGAGATTCTGGGCATGTGCAGATACGTGTCAAAAGTCGCGGGGTTTACTGGGTAATGTAGTCCTTGGTTGTCCGGGAAGAAGACGGTGGAGGCGGGGCAAGGGGCGGACTCTTCGTCCTCGCTCGCGTCAATCATGAGCGCGCGGCAGGGTTGGAGGACGAGGCACCCCGGCACGTCCTGCCGCGCCGGAAGTGAAGGTGAGAGTTTGGCAGCGGGCTCTGAGCGGGCAAGGCGCGCGGAAACGCCAGCGCCGAGAATCGTTGGGGCGGTTGGGGACGCCGCAGCTGGGGCCATTTGAAGGAAGCCTCTGGGACCCGAAGGGCGTTCGTCAGGCGGTACAGAGGGGAACCCCTTGGAGAGGAGAGAAGGGGGCGGGTACGCCTTGTCTAGGGGAGCTTATTTGGCGACCCGGAGTTCCTAAGTGGACTGGGGGGGAGGGGCGTTCTCGAACGGGTGTCTTTTGGGAGGTGGCATGGCCTCTGGCTGGGCTGTTAAGAATTGGCGGAGTAAGGCGAGTGGGCCTCCGTTGAAGATAAGTCGGCTTAGAGGTAAAGGGCCCAGGAGAGGCTGGATGGTGGGGAGGGGGGCAGGAAACTTGGGGCGTTTAAATGTTTCGTGATGTAGGAGACCACAAGGAGCTGGATGAGAGGCTGAAGGTGGACTTAATTTCATCCGATCACTATTCTCCTGCCGCCCTGTTCTTGCAGCCCCTGCCCGATGGCAGCAGTAGTTCTAGGGGTAGACACCATGGGTCCTGAACGTATCTTCCCCAATCAGACTGAGGAACTCGGGCCACACCAGGGCCCTACAGAAGGCACTGGGGATTGGAGCAGTGAGGAACCAGAGGAAGAGCAAGAGGAAACGGGGGCAGGACCAGCTGGCTACTCCTACCAGCCCCTGAACCAAGATCCTGAACAAGAGGAGGTGGAGCTGGCACCAGTGGGGGATGGAGAAGATGTAATTGCTGATATCCAGGATCGGATCCAGGTATGGTGGAGGAGGCATTGTTCCTGAGCAGGTGAAGCTGGAGTCCTTGGACTGGCCCTGAACTGTCGTCTCTGGCTCTGCAGGCCCTGGGGCTTCATTTGCCAGACCCACCATTAGAAAGCGAGGATGAAGATGAGGAGGGAGCTATAGCATCGAGCAACCACAGCTCTATTCCTATGGACCCAGGTAAAAGACATCATTCTTTTATTCTGGAATAATAATGGAGGAAGAGAACTGGTTAGTGCCAGTAGAGGGAAGTCACAGGAACACCCTGTTTCTAAAACAAGTTTGTAATCTAAGATTTTGCAGACCTCAGAATCCAGGTGAAATGCTATTCCTTTAGGCTGGGGGAGGATGGGCAGGCTTGCCTAGGAATAACAGGATTCAGTGACCTCACTAGCCCCAAAGCTCTGGGTTAATTCAACGAACGGGGAGGGGAGCTGGTCTTACTGTTTCTACCCCCTAACTGGTCTGCCTGTGATTTCAGAACATGTGGAGCTGGTGAAAAGGACAATGGCTGGTGTAAGCCTGCCTGCGCCAGGGGTTCCTGCCTGGGCTCGGGAGATATCAGATGCCCAGTGGGAAGATGTGGTACAGAAGGCCCTCCAAGCCCGGCAGGCTGCCCCTTCCTGGAAGTGATCACCCTGAGAGGTGCCTTATCTCCCTGCATTCCAGGCCAGAACCAGCACAGGACTGAACACATCCTGGTTGTAATGTCCATCTCCATCCTCCCCATCTCCCTTCCACGTCAAGGCAAATCAGACTTCTCAGAGACCCACTTTATTCAGTTCTGTACATATGGGGACAATGGTCCAAGCCCAACCCACCTTAGCATGTATCACTCTGTGGGGAATAAAGCACCCTGTGTACACAGCCAAAAGCTGCACTGCCTGTGCCCCGGGCCCGGGTCCG